TACAAATGAAACGCGCACAAGTCCTTTGATGTATACCCATGTTTATGAATACAAAGAGCAATTCGCATTAGTGTTATTGTACTTTCGTTTCAGCCAAATGACGTCCACTGCTGGACAAAGGCCTCCCCCAAGGTTTTCCACAATGAACGGTCCTGCGCTGCCCGCATCCAGGCTCTTCCCGCGACCTTCATTGTACTTTATCTAAGTCTAACTACAGACTTCAAATATTGTATCGGTAAATGAAAAACCTATCGACTCTACCTCCCGGGTTCTTTACTTTCATAAAAAGTTGTGAGCATACGTTTTCTTCTAATGTGGCATTACGTAGCATTTTAGAATGTTTAGTTTTAAAATTACAACTCGAAAGTTTCAGCTCTGTAATACCTGAAAATGAGTATAACAGTTCTCATTAATTGCTAGAATTGATTAAACAATATAATTTTTACTTGAATATTCATCGGCATTAGCTACACCTCAAACTAATAGATAATAGAACAGTAAATAAACCTAAAGGGCGCGTGTCACAATCCTAAAACAGCTGACTGTCACAGTGCCACGAGTTATGAAGTGTCAAGCTACGTTCGAATTCCTCACGAAGCACCTTGCGAACGTCAGTCCGTCAGTCGAATGACAGCGCGTGACTGCTTTGTCACAGGTGAGGCTTACAGCTCATGATTCATGGACTCCGTTTTGCATATTTAACTGTTTTGACAGTTTTATTAAAAGTATAAAGCGTTGTAAATTATATTATGTTTATTTCGCGACTTGACTTGACTTGAAGTAGGTATTTGTTTTTCTAACTTTCGTTGACTTTTTTGACCCATAAAATTTCAATTTTCGTATAAGTAACAGTCGGCTATTAAAGTTTAAAAAAAAAGCTAAGCTAAATTTTTGTATGTTTTTCGATATTTTCTGGCAAATACCTCTCATTTATTTGACATTATAAAAGTCAACTACACAACAGGAATATCCTGCATAATTCTAAAATAATTAAACTCTTAACTCAAATGGTTAGGTATATATTTTTGATAGCCATCAAATAAATACCTATAGATTTTCCCCACTAGGTGGACCGGCGATCTGGTGAAGGTCACGGGAGGTGCCTGAATACGGGAGGCACAGGACCGGTCATTGTGGAAATCATTGCGGGAGACCTTTGTCCAGCAGTAGATGTTATTTGGCTGAAACGAATATACGATACCTATAAATTTTGCTGCATAGACTTTAATATAACAGTACCACTTCCTCTCTGTTAGGTAACAGGTTTGGAAGCTGTCGATTGGTTGCTAACTCTTAATAGATGCTCATGAATGGTCAACAGCACTCATTGACAGTCCCATTTGCGATTTAGAAGCCGCATCGCGCTGTCAAGAGGTTCAAATGCAAAACCTTATTCTGAATTCAGTGAGACAGTGATGAATGTCTGATGGCGCATTGAATTTTACAGGATGACCTGTTTGACGACGCACCGACTGTCAGTAATGGGCAGTTATTATACATTCTAGACGACCTAGACGCTATGGCAACTGTATCTATTAAACGATTGCGACGTTTTTTTGGTTTCAGATGGCGTGATTTTTTTCTACTTTTAAAATAGGTATTTTAGTAAAATTGTTTTATTACATAACGCCGTATATGGCGTGCCAGTCTTAATATTATATTGGCTCTACTTTGGAGGTCATGCTCTACTCTAGAGCTTCTTAAGCTACCACTAGTATCTATATTTGGAATAACGTATAATAATGATATAATTAAAGAACCTATTTTAAAAAATCTATCCTGTATAATAATACATATTATGTTGCGTCATTATTCCTAAAGATCTAACATATTCTGCCATCTAAATTTACCGCGTGTTTCGTATATTATAGTTAATTTTAATAAAATCACGTATATCTTTCTTCACGTCAATCCAGCGTAATTAACTTACCAAAAAAATAATTGGCATTAAATTTTTACGTCTCATTTACTAACAAATGTTGACTCAGAAGTTCAGAACCAAATATTTTTGAACTAAAATGTGCGCAGTAAACTACAAATCTAATTTTAATTTAATAATCTTTAATTTATTACCCCGACGATACACTGGATTATGACATTAAAACTATCATAAATGATAAAAAAACAATTACTAAATCAGTTAAAGCAGGCATATAAAGTATATGTGACATTTTTATTGCATGTATTCTGTATTTCTGTATTCATGTAGATACCATTAGTCATGTAAGCTTTGATGTTTTATCGACAAACATTTTTATTCTGGCATATCTGAAGCTGTTATTTAAGAAGCCACGTTGATGGAATGATCTAAATGGTAGATGGTATTAAATTAAAAAACATTCGTAAATACTTTGGGTTTTGGGTCAAGCTCCTTACTCACACACTCTACTTCCAGACTACTTTATTCGTTTTCAAGGGCTAATTTCTCAATATAATAAAATTTAACTTTGATGTTACAGAATTAGGCTGAGTTGCACCACCTAACTTAAACCGTAACATTAGCGATAACCAGTGATTTTTTATGACGTCTGACATATTTTTGACGTTTGTCAAAATCAAAGTAAGGTGGTGCAGCGCAGCCTTAGCCTAACAACTTTGGTGTGGAAAGTTTTTTCACTACACTGAGGTCCGAAATTGGCTACTTTTAAGTCAAAACTTTGGTTTTGGTAACGATTGACAGTTACTTGATTACGGACGAAAGGGCAATGGCATTCCAAGTAAAACAATGTGCTATCTTATGCCATCACATTAGGTGTGATTTTGCAACGAAAATGTTAAGAGATGTGCTGGCGACTACCTACTGTATAGCTCATTGGCCAATAAATAAGCTTCAGCGATCGCTATTGGTTGTCTCTGAAAATCTTTCTTTCATGATTCGAATTATAAACTGTAGCGAACTGAATAGCAGCTGCCTTTACAGTTTTTTGCTACCGGTCTTTTAAGGCTGAATTTTATTAACTTACTTTAACTGTACTAACTATAACAATAATCGGTGTGTTTGTTCGATTACGGGAGTTTTCTATTTTTGACGTTTGTTAAATTAAAGTAAGATGGTGCATTTCATCAAAAGTACCAATATTTTTGGTTTTTAGATTTTCATAACCAAAGAAAGAAAAGAAATATGTTTCAGATGTCGATAAAATTACATTATTGCCCTGTTACCCTAATAATTGTACAAATTCAGCCGTCAATTTTATCCTTGAAAAATTGTAGGACCTGCATTTTAAAATTAGGCTCATGGAGTATAATATGGGCATATGTCACGGATCTGTCTCCAGACAGTGGCTACTTTAGCTTTCAAATTTTAGGTCTCATACATAGGTAATGCGATGTCATTCGTTTAAAATTCGACCATGCAATATGTCTAGACTAGAGTCGGAATATCAATCGCCTGTGACCTAGAATCACTTACTTTAGGCATACGGGTGCTAGTTTCTTCAAAACTTGAAGTAACACAATTGTTAGTATTTTAGTAATATTTTGCTGTCCAGCTATTCGTTGAACGTTGACTATGCTAGACATTTCTATGAAGGATAAGTATCATGGGCGTATATCTAGGGAGGTGAAACAATCTCTTGTTTCTGCATTAAAATAAAAATAATTTTAATAAAATATTTTCTATTGATGACCCATGACTTGAACAAGCTTTTTAGTTCTATAAAATAATCAAACCATTTGCTCCAAATAAAATAATACCTACACATAAAACAGGCACCAACTAGTTTACTGGTGCTGATGTATACTCATTTTTACTATTTGACAGTAAATGATTCGTTCTACAGGTTTCAACTTATCACGTGAATTTAAGCACATTCAAATTTGGGACTTGATGTGAGCGCTTAATCAATATCACAGTACTATTCGTGAATTCACATTGAAATTCTAATGTGCTCGTATTGCGTCCATTCGTTTCGTTTCTGTACAAGGATTATGTTAAAATAATGCTGTCAGCCTGTTGTTTGTGCATCAAGCTGTCACTAACATCTCAATCGCGTAGGGTTTTTGCCGCGGCTTCACTTGTAGTCCCTTGCCCAGCATCGAATATTTATACTCTCTTAAACATCTTTATTGACACAGACCTGACAACTCGGACCGCATAAGTTAAAGTATTGGACGCTTCACCTGAATCTATTACCTTTTTTCACATCATCCAATTGTTTCAATGAATAATGCGATCCTGCAGCTTTCGTAGTCGATGAGTTCGGTGTATCAAATGGACATATTAGTAGCAGAGCTGATTTTATCGTTAGCTGCTTAGAGGAAAGTAATAAATGACACAGTTTAATTTGGTAGACACACCCGAGACAGGCCGCGTATCGATCATGAGGCACTGGCGGCCGTCCAAACCGGACCAAGTGGTGGGCCGAGCGCCGACGCGGCGCGACAGGTGCGGCATGCAACCCATGACTTAAACGCCGCTGCCGAGCCCACTACATGTCCCTTTCTGATTCCCAACTGACAACTCTACTACACTCGCCATTCTTGAAACGCCTGTCAATCAATAGAGAACATTCCAGAACCACCACTAGTGCAGCCCATCGAAATAGCATCACCCACCGCTCTCCTGACCTATTAATCAAATTAAACATCACTACTCCCTGGTACATTTACACGCACAAACAGGAACACGCTCGTGCCAAGACAATCACTAGCGAAGGTGTCATAATGTGGCGAGCACACGATATAAATAAAGAAAAATGAGACAGCTCGGGGAAATAAATTTAAATTAATTGCGCAACACTATTCGAGTTTCTGCATAGAAATCTTGTTCTGAATCGAGCGTGTTGCCGCGAGCTGTACATCACAATCGAGCAACCGTGGCAAGCCACGAAGTCGATCGAGCCAAGTATTCATTGGCGCTCAAACGAACATTCAGATCTAAATATTAACGTGGCTAACATTTGTGACTAGAATAATCCTTAACGAATTTATGCAATGAAATTGCGCTCGATCATGCTGTCCTTTGACGTAGACTAATGTATTGCATTGTGTATTTTCAGGTACGGTGAATGCGAATGGGGAGACGAAGCGCCAGAGGACGTCGTACACGCGGTACCAGACGCTGGAGTTAGAAAAGGAGTTCCACTTCAACCGGTACCTGACGCGGAGGAGACGGATCGAGATCGCGCACGCGCTGTGCCTCACCGAGCGGCAGATCAAGATCTGGTTCCAGAACCGCCGCATGAAGTGGAAGAAGGAGCACAAGATGGCTTCCATGAACATAGTCCCGTACCATATGAATCCGTACGGCCACCCCTACCAGTTTGACCTTCACCCGAGCCAGTTTGCGCACCTCTCCGCATAGGATCAGTGGAATTTTTCGAACAGCGGATAACTGATTTACTGAACTAGACAGTCGTCCGTCTATCGGGGTTGTGTGTGACGCGAATATTTCAATGAAACCTTCGACGTTACAGCAACCAGACTGGATCAGTTATTCGCTGCTTGAAAAATTTCCCTAGTCTAGCCTAATTTTGTTAAAGTTGTTATTGTGACTTTACAAATGACTATAAAGACAAAGTGTTTGCTTCAAGGTGTGTGTGAACGTGAAGACTAACATGAAGACGTAAGAAGATAACTCACAGTGATCATGGACGTTACAAACTCAACTATTTATTGTCAGCTTAATAGCCACATAAGATAAAATATCATAAAATACTTTTGTATCATTATCCTTTAAAGATCTGAGTTGAATTAATCTTTAATATGCATAATGAAATGTAATTTGTAATGATTACATTGTAAACAAAGTATACGATAATGAGTTTAAACTTGAAGTAGAAAGAATTTTACCTAGTCATAAGCTGTAATTGGATTTGCATATTATTCCTAAATTCTAAGATAAAGAATGGATATCGGATAGTGTACATTGTGATGGCTAGATTTAAGAGTATCATGTTTAATTATTACCAGTTATCGTACAATTCAAAATGAAGCTATAGCCGTCACGTTAATAACAAATTCGGAGATGTACAGGGATAGTTTAAAACTTGGTGAATCCAAACTCATAAATTAAAAACAAAGAATGTATCAAAAGTTTTAGATCATGTAACTATTGACGATTATAAAATAGTAAGGGCTTGTAAGCTAAGTAATAATAGATACTGTGAATAGATAGATACTTCTTCATAGTAATTGTAAATAAATGATTGTGGTTTAGTAGGCACGACGAAAGTTTAATATATTTCAGTAAACTTCCCGAAGAACTGTTTTATGTTCCTGTCCTTAGTTGTAAATAACAAAATATTTATCATATACACTATACGATGTAATTTAACTTTGATAAGGTACCTATAAATACAAATAGTAATTTTTCTAAAGTTTCCACAACGCTACCAAGTAAACATAAATTGTGGCGCTAGCTGCGTACTTTGAAATATTTAATGTCGTATTTGTAAAATGTACTTAATATGCTAAGTGGTTAGTTTCATTTCTTCCATAAACACGGTTGTTTCAGTATCATTGACGATATGAATTTACGTTTGCTTAATTTGTTGTCACGTTTTTTTTTAAATGTCGTAGTCAACTGTGATATTTTGTTAAATTTTGTATTCTTAAGTGAAACAGCACGATTTGAGTTCAAGTTTTTTTATTTTCACTTGTCTGGCTAAAGTGCTATTTTTGGTTAACTTGACTGGTACATTTGTTGTATTATTTATTGTTTGTAAATATTAGATATGTCACTTAGTGTAACTGAATTAAATAATGTTCAAATCTTAACGTGTAATAACTTTAAATCATCACTAATTGAATTTTGCTTGTATGTAAATTTTACTGTGCAATAGGACGTGGCCTATTTTTCAACTCCTCCGTATTTCTCGTGTAAATAAATTCTTTGTTTAGTTATGTTATTTCTTTTTAACTGATTTATTATAAAATATGTTTATCGTTCATTCCAATTTAAATGAGGACTCTAGGAAAGTAGCAACTTGATCATTTAAATTATTGTATTGTATTAATAAAGTGTATTAAATTTGAAAAATTGGTGAAGATGATAAAATAAAATATGAGGATAACTTGTGTTTTACTTATTGTTTCTATTAACAAATATAATAATAATATGACTAGCAACATTATCAAAACCATCTAGTTTTATTCAACTAAAAAGTTGAAATTTTTTACACTATACGTTTTACATTAAAAATTCAAAATCAACTTTTGTAAGCATCATAAAGTTGTAAAAACGTTTCTCTCTTTTAGTGGTTGATTCAAAGGACCTTAGAAACATTTTTAAATAATATTTAAAACTACCTAAATTGAATTCTGAAACCAGTATTGTAACCTCAATAGTTGCAGCCCGCAAATTAAAAGAAAATCGGTAGAGCTATTTAGCACAACAACATTTCTTTGAACAAGCTAAATCTTACGTCACAACAAAGANAACAAAGATATAAAACATTAAAGAATAGCTTAATGAATTTAATGAGCATGTTAGACTACGGCCTCATTATATCTGCCTACGGCTACTACAGGCAAGGTCTTGTAACGTAGCGCCTTAGAAGTTAAGCAGCGCCATCTGGCACAAATGTGTTGTATCATCTACTGCGTAGCACAAAAAGGAACTGGTCGTGCTGAAACTCACAGTTCTTGGAGATAATTTTCTTTGATAAACTAATATTTTTGTCAATAAATATATATGGCGTATACAAATAGCAAATACATGGCGTTATAGAGTCGTTTTAAACAACTCTACTATACTAGAACCATATGAAGTAGCCTGCTGTGTCAAAGTATGTCAATATATGCACTCAGGGTTATCGTATTTGAGCTCATCAGTTGGCGCCACTGTCTTAACTTACTAGTAAGTGACAGGACCTTACTCTACAGTGGCGCCATCTGGACAAAGCTAATATGGTAGCCATCATTATCAGATTGTTTGGCGTCCATGTAGTTTAATGACTTGTGTACATGGTGGACTGCTAAGGACGGTTTTGAATACCGCATGAGGCCAAAATGTTAGTGGAAAAACGTCATTTTAAAGTAAATCAACCTTCAACGGCTTTGGCATGCAAGGTTACCCGATAACTAGACAAGCTTTGCACATCTAAAGATATATATTAGTTTTTACAAATTTGACCGAACTAAGATACGCTATTTAAAATATCCGATAGCCTAGGATTAGGAGTGCTTATTGCCAGGCAAAGCCTAACTATCACTAGGCAATAATATGTATAACCTTGACTCCATCTCCAACTATGATTTGATCGCTCACAATCGGCAGCAAATGGATGTTGCTTGGCTGCAAGCGCCAGCGCGACGCCTCGGCCTGTATTGAGCGATGATAAACGACCGGCATCGCAATGACATAACAGCCGAACCTGCGAGGGTACCACGTGCTCACAAAAGAGGCGAAAAATGCGAAGGTTGCCTTAGTTTGTAGGTCGGAGCTGCGTATCGGAGGCTGGACCTATAAATCATTCTGTCTGAATATTTCGCTTTATGTTATGATACGGACGTTGGCACGAAAATGCGTTGAAACTTTAATAAAACGCTTTTTCAATGTGTGTATCAAAATAGAATTGATTGATGGATGGTGCGGAGTGAAATCCTACTTCAGTATACCCAGCTAAGTTCAGTAGTTTTTCCAATTTTCTTATTTGGAAGTACGGGATCTGAACTGCGGTTACTAAGTTGAAATTCACCAAATGTTACTTAGTTCTTTAATAGCAGTAAAATCATAAGTAGGTTCGTATTTATTTTTTGATAAAACTGGATAATATTCGTGGATTAGTGAAAACAACATAGCGTAAATCCCAGGACCAGGCTATGTTATTTTCACTAACATTTTTGCTGAAATTTTTGTACCACTTCAAAAATGACTCCATATTGGCTAAGGTTATAATGCTGCCTTATAGTAAAATAAATGTTTCTAGTGCTACTTACTGCCCAAAAGTTAACTTTCAATAATAACTAAACTGTTAAATTATTAATGTTTTAGTTTTTACTGTATCTCCAGGTATTTCTTTTACCAAAGATCCAATTCATTTCGCAAAGCATCACATTACAAACAGGTTTTGTTCCATTTGTCGGCAGAACAAGCGGGCAACATAAATATCCATTACAGTATCGACTATCAAGGTGTACTTAGATCAATAGTAATGAACGCATGATTGATGGCACCCACGATTGTATTGCTATCTCCTTGTGTAACGTTTTCTTTAGTGGAATTAGTATGAGGCTGTTTTGTACAGACGTAGGTATAATTTTATAGAGATTTTTGTAGTCTATTGGAAGAGAAAATAGTTACTGGAGAAGTTTTAAGATATCAAAAATATCTGAATGTGTGAAAATCATTCCTTTAATTTTAAAATTCTTCTCTCCTTCTGATGGAAAATGACTGAGGGATATTTTCTGCTCTCTTTAGTTGGATGCTCGTTTGTAGGACATTAAATTTCGCCTAATCAGCTACTACCATCATACACTATCGCTATAACAACAATGTTCTCTTTCGGCAGTTGCAGATAGTTACCTAGCCAATTCCTCTGTGGTTGAGGATTCCGTGTGAAGCTTGCTTCGTTTTGGCACATCATAATATGAGGTGCAGGCAAAATCAAGCTTCCTGGTTGTTGTTTAAAAAATAAATAATCCTCAACAAAACTGCACTGACTCGAATTTTTTTTTTAAAAATCAACAAAACTGCACCTACTTAACAGAATTTAAAAATACTAACCACCAACAAAATCTCCGAAAGTGCAAGCATCCCAACAATCCGCTAAGTTGAATGCGTTCTTACATACCTCGATGTGTATCGTCCTGTCCTGTCGCATACAATGAGTAATATTATTAATGTTAGTCTGTCCATCCGATTGTGGACGAGAGAGAATCGAGATACCCCGCATTAAGGTGTGTTCGGAATCGCGAATCATTTCTCACTCCGTGTGACCGTTTTGACAATTGTGATAAAATTCCTTGCATTAGTTTTTGAGAGATCATGTCCTGTGTCTCGGATGAAGGCTGGCAATGTTAGAGGATTAATCATCAGTTTGGATTGGGATCATCATTCATTGTTTTCTTGACAGTTACAATGCGAATTATTAAATTAGATGAGAGTTAATTCAGAACAAGCGGAGGTTTGATGCAAAAGTATCATTAGTTGTGTTAATTACACACCTTTTTTAATCGCAACGATCTAAAATATGTGAAATCTAAAATATTTATGTTTTATTCTGTAGTACCTTCATCATCATTATTTCAGCCATAGGAAGTCCACTGCTGAACATAGGCCTCCCCCAATGCTTTCCATGTTGATTGATTGGTAGCGGCCTGCGTCCAGGCTTTCCCTGATACCTTTATGAAGTCATCGGTCCACCTTGTGGGTGGACGTCCCACGCTGCGTTTCCCGGTACGCGGCCTCCATTCCAGAACCTTGCTCCTTGTAGTACCTTATAACAACTGAATTTAAAAAACTTCAGAATTTCCAGATAAGTAGCTGATTTTATCTTTAACTGGAAGATTTACCGATGGTAAGTATGGTATGTATCATTTGAATCATGTATTACACACTTTTTTAGATCTCTAGAGCTATATCTTGTACATTCAATTGAATACCCACTTGTAAAACAATATTTGCGTTATTTGTCGCCATCTAATACCACTATTGTATGTAGTGCATAAAGTTCTTTTTGCATTAGCTAGCTAGCAACTTTGGGGACACAAATTTTGTTCTCACTCATAAACCACCAAGTGGTGAAAACTATCGCGTCTAGGACATCATCACATCGGCGGCAGCTTAGCTCAACTACAAGGTAAGTACGAGTATTAACTTGGCATTGATAACAGCTAGAAGAGATAGCGAAAGGATGAGGGCACAAATGTATGGAAAGTGGTACCCGCTCCAATAGCCAAAACCAATATATATTTTAAAAGGCCTATAGATGTAGGAAAATGTCTGCTATGGGGCCAGTTCTAATTCACGTTTTGAAAGCAGTAATTCCACTAAGTATTATAATGAAAGTATAACACAATCATCCATGTATACGAGTATGTATTATGACTACAATCTATTAATATAACTAAAAGAAGCATTGAAAAGGAAAGGATTATACATACGATGAACTACCCAAGCTATTAGCCCTTTATTCGCTTTCATCATCATCATCATGATCATTTTAGCCATAGGACGTCCAGTTGAACATAGGCCTCCCCCAATTATTTCCACAATGGCCGGTTGGTGGCGGCCTGCATTCAGCGCTTTCCCGCTACCTTTATGAGGTCGTCGGTCCATCTTGTGGGTGGACTTATTGGGTCTTGTGGGTTTATTCGCTTTAGCAACCCATAATAAAACCCTTATGAAGTAATAAAACTTTAACCCCTTTATTATGGGACTATTCCCACCTCTCGTTCCCACCACTGCAACTCCTGTGTAGCCAGGATCTACAGCTTTATTAATAAAAGTTGAATAATCTAATGATTTAAATAGCGTTTTTCAAGATTTCGGGTGCCTCGAGACCCTCTCCATAATCTTTGAAACTACCGGGATACCGTAGCGAGTTCGATTCTCGCCTAATGGAAATATGTTTGAACATATAAGCGATATCATATAGAACCGGGTAAAAATATCGTTTTATTATAAACATATTTAAGTGGTTACTAGGTAACTTCTTTTAGACTCTAGGAAAATTTAGCAGGAACATAAAAATTAACAAAAAATTCATAAAACTCAGTGTTATTTTCACTGACATCTAGCCAGTCACTTACCAAGCTTACTCTTTCAAAAGCACACTCTTCAGAGCTTTCAAAGCACAACCATTCACCCGAGCGCCACCTAGCCGTTTCAAAGAGAGTTACAACAGAGCCTAGTTTCGCTTTTGTTTCGTCAACCAACTCTACAAAAAATAATGGCATTTTTCTGTAGATGCCGTTCTGGTATTTCTTCAACCAAATGTCTTCAAAACATGCATAAAACTTTGGAAAAAGATTTGCTAATACCTACTAACAAATATTAATTTTATTGCAAACAAATGACAATCTAAAACAAATGCCTCAAAATGTCACTGAAATTGTCAAGCTACAGAATCGTAGCGCTACGAAAACCATGGTTCGTACAAAAGCCTTACTAGTGTCGCTATTCCCCGACAGATGGCGGTAGAGTAGCGGCGTAGGTAAAGCAGTCGATAGCAAGCTCGAGTGAGCTTTCAAAGCTCCACCAACCACCGTAGAGTACGCGTTGCATTTTGTATTGATATTTTTCACCACCCGGCTTGATTCTACGGCTTTTGGAGGCAAAATGGTAAGTTATTTTGTTATTTGTACCTCTTTGTAGACTCTACAAATGATAAATCAGCAATGAGAAGGTAAATTACATGAGGATATGTAATGAATTCTTTTAAAAATTTGTTAAATCAATCTTGGGTGTGTATTGATTTTTAGTAACCTGAGTCTCAATAATTTTAAATTTTGATTGATAATGATTTAAGATATTTATTTATTTTATACATAATTAAACGTAATGATCTTAGCTACGGCCAGTTGCGTTGTAGGTAAGTAATTAAATTTTGAGTTTTAAAACCACCTTACTTACATTAAATACCATTCAAACATTAACATTTTTAATGCCGTGTATGTGACTAAAACCTCAATAAGACGTCAAAAATGGAATTACTTATTTATATTATATTGAGATGCCTTTGACGGTTCAATAAGTATTTACTGTTGATTGAAAACTTGGGGTTTTAATATTACTTGAAATAAATAGGGTCTCAACAATATTCATCTATATGATCTTATACTCCATAGACCAGAAGACATTAAGCTTTTTAAGGAAATAGTATTTAAACCTATCTTTAAAAAGATAATATAATTCAAACAGTCATTTACCTCCCTACATTGAACCACTTTAAAATGTAACAAACCTTATGACTTCCAAATCCTTTACTGCATTTTAGATCTACATGTTAAATTTATTACTAAACTCTTTTTTCTAACACTACTGCATTTTATGTAAGGTACATACAGGCCTAACGCATTAGTGAAAGCGTTTTGTGTTTGTGCACAACCGACTGCCTTTTAGTAAAATAATCCCATATTATGACCATAATCCTATAGAGCGAAATCATAATCCTATTTGCAGCAAAAAACGCTTCTCAGAAACTCAGTCAACTCCTATAATCTGTTGTTGAGTAGCGATTGCGTTATTCTCATAAAAACCGTTTCGAAATTTATACCTGGCTTCCATGAATGGCGATATTTTAGTTTAAGGTCCGTTTAAAAAAGGAAGAATCAAAGATGGCCGCAAAGGCACCTTTGCGCCTGCGCCAGCCGATGGAGTTGCGCATTTTGATTGAACGAATGCAGGCTGGCTGCGTGGTTACAAAGTACTATGGGTTCTCGATTCGGAATCGCTCTTTCTGTACGAAAAAAAAAACTGTTAAATTAATAAGCACCTTTAGAGAACTGTCATTAAACATCATACAGCAATATTTCATGCTACAAAAGAAGACTTTGTGTTTGTTACATGAAGTTTTTTGGTACGGTATAAAAATGTGGAGTCCCTACTCCTCGAATGCATTGAAAGTAAATTTTGCAACACATTTAAAAAAGAACAATAATCGCACGGTGTAAATCTAGGATCTCAAAATATAAGTCTAATCAAAAGTTAAAATTCTATCAATTCTTATCTTTTGGATTCCTTTCTAAAGCATTTGCCCCTTATTTTATTCAAAATCAAAATCAAAATCAAAAATNAACAAAGACAATGTATTAAAGAATATCTTAATTTAATGAGCATGTTAGACTACGGCCTCATTATAATCTGCCTACGGCTACTACGGGCAAGGCCTTGTAACGTAGCGCCTTAGAAGTTGAGCAGCGCCATCTAACACAAATGCGTTGTACCATCTACTGCGTAGTACAAAAAGGAACTGGTCGTGCTAAAACTCACAGTTCTTGGAGACAGTTTTCTTTGATAAACTAATATTTTTGTCAATAAATATTATATGGCGTATACAAATAGCAAATACAATCATGGCGTTATAGAGTCGTTTTATACAACTCTACTAGGTATACTAGAACCATATGAAATAGCCAGCTGTGTCAAAGTATGTCAATATTTGCACTCAGGGTTATCGTATTTGAGCTCATCAGTTGGCGCCACTGTCTTAACTTACTAGCAAGTGACAGGACCTTACTCTACAGTGGCGCCAACTGGACAAAGCTAATATGGTAGTCATCATTATCAGGTTGGCGTCCATGTAGTTTAAGACATGTGTACATAGTGGACTGCTAAGGACGGTTTCGAATACCGCAGGAGGCAAAAATGTTAGTGGAAAAACGTCATTTTAAAGCAAATCAACATACAACGGCTTTAGCATGCAAGGTTAATCGGGTAACTTTATTCGGGTCGATATCTAGACAAGCTTAGACAGCTAATGAAATTAGTGAAATAGTTTTAACAAGTTTAGCCGAACTAAGATACGCTTTAAAATATCCAATAGCCTAGGATTATTAGTGCGTATTACCAGGCAAAGCCTAACTCAACTATCACTAGGCAATAATATAACCTTGACTCCATCTCCAACTATGATTTGATCGCTCACAATCGGCAGCAAATGGATGTTGCTTGGCTGCAAGCGCCAGCGCGACGCCTCGGCCTGTATTGAGCGATGATAAACGACCGGCATCGCAATGACATGACAGCCGAACCTGCGAGGGTACCACGTGCTCACAAAAGAGGCGAAAAATGCGAAGGTTGCCTTAGTTTGTAGGTCGGAGCTGCGTATCGGAGGCTGGACCTATAAATCATTCTGTCTGAATATTTCGCTTTATGTTATGATACGGACGTTGGCACGAAAATGCGTTGAAACTTTAATAAAACGCTTTTTCAATGTGTGTATCAAAATAGAATTGATTGATGGATGGTGCGGAGTGAAATCCTACTTCAGTATACCCAGCTAAGTTCAGTAGTTTTTCCAATTTTCTTATTTGGAAATACGAGATCTGAACTGCGGTTACTAAGTTGATATTCACCAAATGTTACATTAGTTATTCACTAATCTTTAATAGCAGTAAAATTCTTAAGTAGGTACGTACATATTTATTTTTTGATAAAACTAGATATTAATAGGTACTCGTGGATTAGAGAAAATAACATAGCGTAAATCCCAGGACCAGGCTATGTTATTTTCACCAACATTTTTGCTGAAATTTTTGCACCACTTCAAAAATGACTCCATATTGGCTAAGGTTATGATGCTGCCTTATAGTAAAATAAATGTTTCTAGTGCTACCTACTGCCCAAAAGTTAACTTTCAATACTAACTAAACTGTTAAATTATTAATGTTTTAGTTTTTACTGCATCTCCAGGTATTTCTTTTACCAAAGATCCAATTCATTCCGCAAAGCATCACATTACAAACAGGTTTTGTTCCATTTGTCGGCAGAACAAGCGGGCAACATAAATATCCATTACAGTATCGACTATCAAGGTGTACTTAGATCAATAGTAATGAACGCATGATTGATGGTACCCACGATTGTATTGCTATCTCCTTGTGTAACGTTTTCTTTAGCGGAATTAGTATGAGGCTGTTTTGTACAGACGTAGGTATAATTTTATAGAGATTTTTGCAGTCTATTGGAAAAGAAAACAGTTATTGGAGAATAGTTTTAAGATTTCAAAAACATTTTTTATAAAAAAAAAATCTGCATAAGTGAAAATCTTTCCTTCAATTTTAAAATTCTTCTCTCCTACTGATGGAAAATGACTGAAATCTGTGTGGACGAATGGTAATACCACCTGGTCTAAAATTCAGAGTTCCCGGGTTCGATTCCCAGAAAGGGAACATTTTGTGCTCTCTTTAGTTTGTGGTAGGAATTGTTTTATGTTCGCTTATGTAACTACCACCCTCTTACTCTGTCATCATGACATCTGTCGCCTTAATGTTATTAATGTTGTGAAAAGGCAATGCAGCAAGTTCCTCTGTGATTGAGGATTCCGGGTGACGCTCGGTTCCACTATCGGCTTATCATCACTTTTCATCAGGTGAGATGCATGGCAAAACAGGGAAGCCGTTGTGTCCATAAAAAAATCTTAACAAGACTGTGCCGGGTGAAAATACAAAAAAAAATATATAAAAAAACTGCACCCATTTTGAGCAGAATTTAAAAATACTTACGCAAACAAAATATCCGAAAGTGCAAGCATCCCAACAATCCGCTAAGTTGAATGCGTTCTTACTTCTTACATACCTCGATGTGTATCGTCCTGTCCTGTCGCATACAATGAGTAATATTATTAATGTTAGTCTGTCCATCCGATTGTGGACGAGAGAGAATCGAGATACCCCGCATTAAGGTGTGTTCGGAATCGCGAATCATTTCTCACTCCGTGTGATCGTTTTGACAATTGTGATAAAATTCCTTGCATTAGTTTTTGAGAGATCATGTCCTGTGTCTCGGATGAAGGCTGGCAATGTTAGAGGATTAATCATCAGTTTGGATTGGGATCATCATTCATTGTTTTCTTGACAGTTACAATGCGAATTATTAAATTAGATGAGAGTTAATTCAGAACAAGCTGAGGTTTGATGCAATAGTATCATTAGTTGTGTTAATTTCACGCCATTTTCATCGCAACAATTTAAAACATGTGAAATCTAAAATATTTTTGTTTTACTCTGTAGTACCTTCATCATCACCATTTCAGCTATAGGACGTCCAATGCTGAACATAGGCCTCCCCCAATGCTTTCCATGTTGATTGATTGGTAGTGGCCTGCGTCTAGGCTTTCCCTGATACCTTTATGATGTCATCAGTCCACCTTGTGGGTGGACGTCCCACGCTGCGTTTCCCGGTACGCGGCCTCCATTCCAGAACCTTGCTCCTTGTAGTACCTTATAACAACTGAATTTTAGAAACTTCAGACTTTCCAGATAAGTAGCTGATCTGATTTTTAGCTGGAGGAGTTTCCGATGGTAAAGTATGTATTTTTTTAATTAATGATTTAAATGGCAATTTTCAAGATTTCGGGTGCCTCGTGACCCTCTTCATAATCTTTGAAATTTACCGGGATACCGTAGCGGGTTCGATTCTCGCCTAATGCAAATATTTTTGAACATATCATATAGAACCGGGTAAAAATATCGTTTTATTATAAACATATTTAAGTGGTTACTAGGTAACTTCTTTTAGACTCTAGGAAAATTTAGCAAGAACATAAAAATTAACAAACATAAAACTCAGTGCTATTTTCACTGACATCTAGCCAGTCACTTACCAAGCTTACTCTTTCA